ATATTATGGGAATGGTTCCTATAATATTATGGAAACTATTCCTTTAATATTATGGAAACTATTCCTATATATTATGGGAACCATTCCTATATATTATGGGAATCATGCCGATATTACAGTTATAATTATAGGTATCGTTCCTATAATTATAGGAACCATTCCCATAATTATAGTAACGTTTCCCAAAAATTATGGGTATAATTCCCATAATTTAAGTAATCGCTCCTAAAATGGTATAGGAAAATATTTCATTAAAATTATAGGAATGATTTCCACATTTTTCTCTCCGTGTACATACAAAAAATGAACAATTAAAAAAAAATTGATTATCACAATTTTAACAAATTTTTTAGAAAATTGTGACATTCAAATTTTTTTTTTTAATTGTTCGTTTTTTTATTTACTTTAAAAAAAAATATATCAAAAACATAAAAAAAAAAATGAAATAGAAATTTTATCCAAAAACATGAGAGCCAAAATTTTTTCCAACTTTTGAACGCAAAAAAACTATTAAAATCTTTATTTTTTTCTCTCACGACAATTTTTTATCAAAAATCCGCCGTTAAAATAAGCAGAATAAAAAAATGTCAATTTTTCACCTAGATATGGCCAAAAATAGGGCGGACCTAATTTGTGAATAATTACCAAATTTTCTTGGTGCAAAAAATTTTTTTTTGGATAAAATAAATAATTTTCCGAGTATGTAGTAAATTTTTGAAAAGATTTTTATAAAAAAATAATAAAAACTTACCAAATAACCAGAAGGAATGTCAAAAGCGACTTTCTCTTCCCCTTTGGGAACATAAACCGGCTCAGACGGTCTATCATAAAGATAAAGTAGTCCGCGATCGGCGTCCGTCATCTTGTTTGCAAGTAACTTAACTTCCGATGGATTTACTACCAGGAGTTAGAATTTAGTTTATTTCCCGAGTTTATTATTCACTGCAGGTGACGGCTCGAGTGCGGATATCGTTAGCCGAAATAGTTGGACAATTTTCGAGGATCAAAAACGAAAAAACAGTGTTTATTGTTGAGTTTTTAATAACGTTAAAAATAGCAAGAGCTCTGACAACAGAGCTGAATTATCTGATGGTCGTGTTAACAACGATGCTTCATTTTATACCGGGATTCCCAGGATGTAGTGGTTTCCCTACGAGCGTTGACGGAGACAAACATTCACCGCGAATTCCGGCACTAAATCAACTATTTTTTTCTTTTTACATTTAATTACATTTTTGCTCCCTGGAAACTTAAGTGTTTACTTGCTTTTTATTTTATTGGTCTCGGAGGGAGGAATTTAATCAAAGTCATCCAAAAATTATAAATCCTTTTTATTATTATTAATTTTATTGGAATTAAAAAATTTTTAATAAAAAAATTGTTATATAATTTATTTTTAATTAAATTCAACGTTATAATTAAAAGTTATGATAATAATTAAATTAAAATATAAAATATACGCGTATATTCATTCATAAATATTAATTTAAATATAAATATAAAATATAATGGGTTAAGCAATTGAAATGCAAATAAACTGGCTCAATGTTTTGAAATAAACAAATAACAGTATAGAGTGTAATATCGGAAACTCGATGTCGAGCGTAATTACATAAACAATAGACTTTTTAGAAGCCGGTAATAAAATTTAAGGGTACTCGTATTTTTTAATCACATATCTCTGTGTTGGATGCTCGTTTGAGCAGCTTGATTCGCTGACGCTGAAAATAAAAAAGGTCAATCGGTGGGATTTTGCGATAAGTGTTAATAATTCCTCGATCGACCAAATGTACTCATTGATCAGTGATCTACTCGATAAAAAATTGTAATAATAAAAAATAATAACCCGCATGTTTTCAATTGATATTTTTAACTAGTTGCTATTTATCAAGTTGTTTTGCGAATTATCCAATAACAAATTGTTTAAATTAAATAAAATTTTTATCAACTGATTTTTACTTTTTTAATAAATCGCTTCATTTAATTTTTTTTTTCAATAATAATAATAATGTAAAAAAATAATAACAAGGAAAAATTGATCGGACAGTAATTGAAAAATTTTCCCTGAAATGACGAATAAAATTATTTCAATTGGAAAAATTGTTCAGGAACAAGTGCATAATTTCCTCGAAGGTATAGATATAGACGCGTCACGAAATGACTGAACCGTAGATTGCAGAGAGTGGTAAAGCACTCGAACTCGTGTCTCGTGTCCCTGTATACAATGTAGGGTGCAGGGAGGATTTATACGCTCACGGAGATGAGCGTTCTCGGTATTCCAGCAGCACTTCCGGCAGTCACATAAAAACAAAGCGCTTGCTTTATTTTTCACTTTTGTTTTGTTTTTATTTACACCGGTCCATTCCAGCACTCGTCTGCCAGAGCGATCTCACCCTTAAACAGTTTTGGTTTTCCAATTTCAATTCATTAAATTTAAATTTTACACTCACTTTCAATATTTTTTCAATATTGGAATTTCCGACTCCGAATTTTATCTGCGTTTTCCAGAGAACAAAAACCCCTTCGGTCATTCCATATAAAGTAACCCATTGTACGCTGACCATTATTTATATTATTAAGAGAATAAGCACAATTTTGTGGCCAGTGTATTTATATGATAAAATGGGATTTTATGGTTTTATGGGTTTTTATGATTAAATTAGGTATCGTTGGAAATGTCTTGACCTGGAGTTGTGCCTTTTCAAGGTTTCATATAATTCTCACCGATAGTCAATTTATTATGATAAGTATTTAGGCTTTATTCGAAAATACTCTATATCTAGATACATAATTAAGAAATGACCCTGTATCTCGTGAACTATTGACATTTTTAAATATATAAGCTCATCCCGATGTTACACTCATCAAAAGTACAATGCAATTTAACAAAAGTCATTTTATAAAGCAAAATTTATTTTATTTAATAGAATGTGATTTTTCATGCCATTTTTTATTTATTTATGGTTCACAAGTAACGGCAGTCACATAGTGACTGCACGGTTGCTAGTTTTATTTAATGAAAATATATTTCCACCAGCCTACCATTATTTAATCCAATTTATAATATAAAAAATAATAGAAAATTTATTGAAAAAATATTAAAATTTTACGCTACAGGGCATTGTCCTGATAACCGCGTACTGATAATTTATTAAAAATCCGCGGTTTACCGCAAAAGCCTCAATAAACGCTGGATAAGATTTATTCAAAAAGAATTATCAAAAAAAAAAAAATAAATAAATAAAAGCGGGATAGATAAAATAAATGTTTTCATAAATGGGAAAATAATTTTTATGAATTTTTATTTATGCATTAGATGGTACAGACAATCAGAGCCGGGTATCGATCATGCCCGACTCACATTATTTTTAATTCTTTACGTGATATTTGATATGTCATTGCCGTTCCATTTTCATTATTTCACTTACATATTACATTACATTGCAGTACAATATATAATATAATATAATGTATCATATCAGGAATATATCTGCGGGCTGTACTCTCGTCTATACAATTATACACATACGTTTATTAATTTAAAGTTATTATATTCTGCTAACAATAAGAAAAATATGAGGGATTAATTAATCCATTAATTTTGTTGATAATCACATTTTTATTAAATATCCCAAATATTGAATGAATTTATTATTTATTATTTAATATTATCAGTACCATAATTATAATTATAGTTTACTTTATTAATTATTTATTTATTGAATACTATCATTACTGACTAATTTATTTACAGACTAAGCGCCAATCCATTGTACCTGTTTCGGTAATTAATATCAATTAATTTTAATTGAAATTTTAGTAAAATGGACGGTAGGGTTGTTTTTTGATCTTAAACATACACGAAAGACGTTGCTTCTTTGCACTCATTGACATCACACTGCTCGATATTATTCGCGCTGGTGATCCATTTTCCGTGACACCGCGCAGATTCTGATGTTATTATTTTCCACCTGCCGATTCCGGTAGGTCCCAATGGATCCTGGTTATTTTGACAGCTTACGCTCTCTGGCTCACTATGACACATGACACAAATTTGTGCTCCTGAAAATAAAAATATAAATGTACTTATTACCGGTAAAATAATATATATATTTTATACTGTTTGTTTTATAATATATTATGAATAATATGCACGCAAGGCTGGGTCATTTTAATTGATATGACGCGTATTTTTTTTTATTTTAATTATTTTTCACCGTGTGGATTAGAAATAGTTTTATTATACAAACTTAGAAAAAGAAAAATATTTTCCAGACAAAAAATTCTCGGCTCAAGAATTTTCTTATTATTAAGAGAATAAGAAAAATTTTGTTTCCAGAATAGTCATATGATAAAATAGGTTTTTTCGAGGTTTCATGTCATTCTCACCAATAGTCAATTTATTATAAGTGTTTAGGCTGCATTCAAAAATTCTCTATCTTTAGATACATAATTAAGAAATCATCTTGTATCTTGTGAACTATTGATATTTTTGAAGATATAAGCTCATCCCGATGTTACACTCCTCAAAACCTTTCATTTGAGTACCCACATCAATTTTTCATATATTTTATATATTTATATATTTAAAAAATACCATAAATATAAAATATATAAAAAATGCCATGTAGGTACGTGAATGAAAGGTCTCGATAAGTGTAACATCGTAATGAGTTTATATCTTTAAAAATGTCAATAATTAATAAATGACATTGTATCTTGTCAACTAATGACATTTTTAAAGATATAAGCTCACCCCGACATTACCCTCATCGAGACCTTTCATTTGAGTACTCACATCAATTTTTCATATATTTATATGAAATTTATATATATTGTAAATATGTATATATGAAAAATATATGAAAATGCATGTGGGTACTCAAATGAAAGCTTTTGATGAGTGTAACATCGGGATGAGCTTATATCTTTAAATCTATCAATAGTTAAGAAAGTACAGTACAATTTATCAAAAGTCATCGTTCACTAAAGCAAAATTTTATTTATTTACAGTTCACAAGTCACGGGAATCACATAGTGACTACAAGGTTGCTAGTTTATAAATTAATTACATAACTTACTCAAAAAATAGAATTTTTTTATTAATATTCTCTCTCTTTTTAACATTAATTATTTTTTACTTTGTACTTTACATGGTTTAATTTTTATTAATTTCACAGCAATCATATTTGAAAAAAAAATTTCATCTAGCGGCAAAATTACAAATAAAACAGTTTCCGGCTGGCAAAAAGTTTATCAAGCATTTGTGAATGATGAAACGTTGCATAAAATAAAATAAAACCAAAACTAAACAGCTAATTTTATTTGCTATTACTTTGGGCGCTGTATAAGAAGGGGGGAGGGGAAACAGAGTTAATGAGCGAAAAAAAAAATTAAAGATCGTTACTGTACGGCGTAATTATCGAATGAAGGAGTAGCACACGCGAGAGAAATGTACCCGAGGTTGTGTATATAACTTGAGGTCGTAAACTTTTCTCGGTGTTGCTTCAAGCAGCCTGCAATTAGACGGGGTTTACGCGGATCACAGGTGCACCTGCAGCTATCGCAAACACGGCTAATCAAATTATGGCTTCGCGATGCAATAAGCGCCAATCCTTTCGCCAAAAGAACTAAATAAAAAATTTATAAGTAAATAAATAATAAATATGTTTTTTGAAAAATTTTTCATGGGAGTATTGCAATAGAACTAAAAAATATTATTGAATAAATAAATCGGTAAAATAAACCCGACAATCATAATAATAATAATAATAATTGGTATAAAAATGAATCAAAGGTTATTTATTGGAAATTTTTGCTGCCCACAAAAAGACCAAGTGTATATTTTATTAATAATTTCTAGTACACTCATCGAAAAGTGAATTGAATTGCAAATTCTTCAAGTGTTAAATATTTACAATATAGATAAAAATATTTCATTTCAATAATTATTTATTTTATGCTCTTCAAATAAAAAAAAAAAAAATTATTACTTATTAGTAAAGTTATTCTGAATGAAGTTTTTATGCATTATTATAATTTTCAATAATAATAATTTTAATATTTATTTTTTTTAAAGACTGGTTTTATAAATTAGAGAAAAAAATTGTTGTATTAGACTAGATAACCAATAAACTAAAAATTTAATGACTTACGTCAGAAAATATCTATAAAATAATAATAATAATAATAATAATAATAATAATAATAATAATGCAAAAAAAAATAAATGTTAGAATTATTATAAAGTTTATAAATAATAATATTAACAATAGCTGTGTCGTAAGTTCTATGATTTATCACGTATTTAAGTATTTTCATCACGATGCATTTTATTCTGGGCTTTAAAGTAATGGTTATTACTTATAACATGCCGTAGGAAACTCAATAAACGTAGGAAGAATTGTGAAACTCAGTAGTAATAAACACTAATATTAATCTACCTATGTAAAAATAAATGAATTGTTATGAAGCAATTGCTAAAAAAAAAAACATATTCTTTGTTTAAAATATATTCGTGATATCTAAACAAGATTTTTTAATTAAAAAAACAAAGCCGCGGATGTGTGATGTGTGCAAAATGTAGATATTGGAATTTGCGATGATATCTCGACAAGGCTGTCAACTAATCTGAGGATTGCGAATACAACAGGTAATATATACAAAGGGGGTGAGTTTAAAACTGAAACCCAGGTGTGCAGAGAGTCATAAAACATAATTGAAGCATAAGTTACAGATAAGGCTGTGTGTGGGTTCCATTGCTGTCACGCGCAATTATGTCGAGCGTAGACATGCACGCAAAACCCACTGGTTGATAAGCACCCGTCGTAAAGCTGTCTTTTATTTTATCACCCTCGCGAGTCCGTTAGAAAAAAACGCTAAAAAATTAAAAAGTATAATTAAATAAAAAGGAAAAAAAGGTAGAGGGGAAAAATGAGAAAAATACTTAAACGCAAATAAAAATAAATAAAGAAAGACTTATAGTAGAGTCGAGAAAACAAGTTTTAACTGCTAAAAGGGGAAGGCCAGTGTGTGTGATGAAAGTCGGCAATGTTTTGCTTGAATTAAAATCCTCTCGTAAAATCTACGTAACAGTGTGAAGACACGAAAAACTCGGGATGTAAATGACTTTGTTAGCATCCAACGGCACTTTTACTTACGGAAAACATAAAAACGCAAACTAAAATTACGTACTGGGTCCCGTATACTCGTCCTGGGATTAGCTATCGTCTAATCAAATTTATTTTCACAACAGCTTTTGGCCAGAATATGTTTTTTATTTTAATCAAATAAATTTAATTTTTGTCAAAAGCTCTGTTGAGTAAATTTTAAATTTAAGGGAGTATTCTCGTTTAGAAGCCCAAATTTTAGGTATTTTTTTAGTAGCAATAAAAAAAAAACAACAAATATTTTTATTGATATTTGAAGAGTACAAAACATTAATGAAATTAAAAAAAAATCAAATCTCAAAAAACTGCAGTGGGGACTGATAAAAGAATGGCACATCCTGGTGTGCAGGATATCAATCGTTTCAATGACCAAAAATGCAAAACAATTAATAATCCTTCAAAAGGAAGGATTTAGTTATCGCACTACGAGACGTTTTAAAGAAAAAAAAAAACAATTTTTTCACAAAATAGCAAAGGTTTGAAAAATATGTTTTTTTTTCTGTGGTCCGGAATTTTAAAAAAATTTTTTAAAAACTTACCCTCCTATAACCCGAGATAAATTCAATTAAAAATTGGATATTTAACATTGAGTTTATACGCTCTCTGCAGTTCTGTACCAGTTTTTTAGTTATAAAAAAAAACTATAATAACAGTTAGAAACTTTCAAAAAACTGACAGTCTTTTAATGTATTTGTTGTGAATTTAAAAAAAAATTTTTGACCGTCTAATTATTTATATACAACAGATTAACAATTTTTAGGGACATATTCTTGTAAGGTTTTACTATTAAAACATGCAAAAAAATCGATTTTTTCGAATTTCTAAACGAGAAAGCCCTCTTAAGAAATTTTTAAAAACAGTCAAAAAAAAATAAATTTATTTTTGGGGCTTGTTCAAACAAACGAAAGCATGTCACAAGTGTTAATTAGCAATTAGTCCACTTATAAAAAGAAGTGAGTGAATTTAACTATCCAGGACGCGAAATGATACCAAAATAAAGATACTCGTGTGAGATTTTTTGTAGGTGGGAAAAAGCAAACTTAGCAAGAGAAAAAATAAAAATAAATAAAGTAAAGATGGAGAAAAAATAATGCATAAGGGGACTTTAGGACGCCCCGGAATAAGGAAGGAGCCTCGTTGACCTGAAGACTCGACAAGTCTTTCGAGATTGGAAGAGATGTCTCGCACGACAAACAACCTCTCCTGTGCATCCCTAGCCCCTAGTGCACTCTCATATTCCAAGAGATTTTTTTTCTCATGATCAAACTTGACTTTTTACTTTTACTTTATTCTTTATACTCTATCCACTGGCTCCTCTATGCGTCTATTTTTTTCCATCAGAGCTTAAAACCCGGGCGTTCTACTGTGCCACCTATAGATATTTATCAAACCTACCGAGTGTAACGCCTGGAAAGTCCTTGCTGCAAGCCCTGGACGCCCAAATTACGGTAAAAGCCGAGCACGTTCTGTAAAAATACAAAAATAAAACGTTTAATTTAAGTTAAACACTTTGCATCAATGAGCGAGTATACATTTAATGGCTCCGCAAAAAGAGCCTTTTTGTTTCGCTTAAAAATGAATTAATGCTGTGGAGGGAGTTATTCGGTTTTTTGCGGGGCAACGAGCCATCAAAAGTTCCGTTCTGGTGAAATATAACTTCGCTTTGAATCTCAATTTTTTAAAATATATTGTTAAACTCCAAAGAAAATGGTAATGTCTGGATTTTATTGCTTTTGTTGGAAAACAATATCCTTTTGTCTGCGATATAGATCAGTAGTTGAACGTGACATGCGAGCTCTTTTTTCTCCGAGGAGAGAAGTCAATAATTCAACCGTACCTGCCGCTTTGTCGTTCGAGTTTCACTCTTCGACACAAAATACACGACACGTTTAGTTGAGACGTCGAGTATTGTGGATACCGCTTAGCTAGCAAACCTATTGAGTAATCATCTGTATAGACATATTATTCTATACACAGTTAAATTTTAAATATTTATTATTGATCCATAATGGTGATATTTATTTATAACAAGTTACAAAATAGCAATTTATTTTTTTATTAAACAATAATCTGAAAGCCGAAGCCAATGACAGGCTTTATAGGGAATACAATATATTTATTTATTTAATTATTTTGCCTTTATTACAACCCAACTGCCTAAAGGGCCAATCACAAGGTTACTTAATATATACAGAGTTGAAAATTTTGACTTAAGTAAAAATATGCACAATAAAAAATTTTGCGGCATTACCTCAAAAAGTGCTAAAAATTTTTATGTTAAATATTTAACATTTTTATTTGTTAATTTGACATTTATTCTATTAAATCAACAGAAAAAAGGGTTAAATATTTAACATAAAAATTTTTAACACAAAATTTTTTACTGTGTGATTATACACTGATAAAAAAATTTACTTGACTTAAGAGCCAAAACCTTGAACCAAGAATACCATTTTAAGAAAGTGATTTTTTTTGAGTCAAGAGAATAAATTCTTGAAACAAGAAAAATTTTCTTAGACAAAGAATAATTTTTTTATTCTCAAGAATTTATTCCCTTGACTCAAGAAAATCATTTTCTTCAAAATAGTATTCTTGGTTCAAGATGTTGGCTTTGGGGTCAAGTTAATTTTTTTATCAGTGTATATAAACCAAAATTTATAAATTTAAATTAACAAAGTATTAATAATTAATAATTAATAATAAAAAAAAAGAAAAGAAAAAGAGATGAATTAAGGCTATGTACAATTTTATTAATGTTGTAAAAAAAAAATACAATTACACTAAAAAAAAAAATTTACTTAAATCCAGAGAAAAATTATTGAACTAAGAAAATATTTTTTAAGAATTTCATTGTCTTGAATCAAGACGAAAAATTATTGAATTAAGTTAAATTTACTTACACCAATAAAAATTTCTTACTTTAAGAATTTTTTAAGAAGACAAATTTTTTCAAAGTTATTTTTTTGATTGATGTGAATTTTTTTTTTCTGTGTAAGTAAGTATGATTTAATCCGTTGGACTATAGAACAACTTCCCTGCATGGGACAACAAACCGTAGGACTCAGCTAGCTTAACAAACTACCCGAATCTCTAAACACCTAAAAGTTCATAAATTAACATAGTACTTAATAATATATCACCAAGTACAAGCTAATTTACTCCAGGAGAATAAACTTGTTTAATTGAGGTCGGAAAAGTGATCATGATCGTGATCACTATTACCTAAGACTGTTCTATAGCTATTAGATATTGTATTACTCGTTTATGCCGTTATATCATGATCAGAGCTTCTCGAGGGACGCAATACTCAACCAACTTTGTAATTGAGTATCTAACTTGCTGGACCTCAGAACAATGCTAAACTACAACCACTAAATTATCTTCAAAAATAATAATAATAGTCTTTAAGATATTTAACTATAGTCAATAACCGTGAAAAAAACTCCTCCATAAAAGTCGTTTTATTCCAGTTATTCCAATAGAAATTATTTCAATTATAATTACAACGGGCAACATTTTCATTGGAATATAATTTCATTGAAAAGAACGTTGATAAGTTTTGTCATTCTGGATCCAAGCCAATTTTTTTTTCCTTTAAGAAATAAATCTCTTTGCGAAAATAAACAGTTTACATCTTTACAACTTTATTTTTTACTTTAATTAATTATTCTCTTTTTTATTTATTTATTATTATTATTATTATTATATGATTAAAAAAAAAAAAGTAAAGAAAAGATTTTAAATAATGCAGCATTGTATACTCGGTGCATAATTTCCATAACCCCGTCGTACACGCGCAAATAAATTTAAATTTTAATACATGCCGAAGCTAAACTCAAGATTAATATTATCAAAGTGAATTTTATCCAGTGAAATTCTAATGTTATATAACTACAAATGTCTAACATATTTGGCGCCAGGATCACTGCCTCGCATTCGTGCAATTTCCTTTCGCAAAATTACTCTGCAATCATTTCTATACATTGAAATTCTGGGTATAGACGTACCTCGACACAGTTGGATCTATATAATGTGGGATTCATACATACGTACATATATATATCTTACATATACAATATAAAATTGCTAAGGAAGGAAATATTTGATCCTCAACTTGTGCTATGGCTTTTTAGTTTCTCTCAGACGTATACAAATATAATTTTCCGGTATTGAACTTATATCATTTAAAATCACGACTCAAGATATTACTGTCACATATATATATTGATATAAATTAATGTACAAGATAAAACTTACCCTTGTTTCGTCGCGATTGTTTCATTTAGCTCGGGGGGATTCATCTCTTGCCATGTCGTGAGCAGAGTCACGTCTGAAATTAACAAAAGAACACGTGTTCTATTAATTATTATAAAATTAACGTTAATCTCATCTAAAATTTTAATTAATTATTAAAATTAGTAGAGCCCGCGGTCTTTTGTTTCAGACTAAATTAATTATTTTTTATAAAAATAAATTCATGTTATAAAAATAATAGAGAAAATATTAAAATAGGTAAGCAGAAAATAAAGGGTTGTAAAAAGTAAACTTACTGGTTTTATACAATGAATCCCTTTCGGAATGCCGACATCCGACGTGTTCTTGACATACCCTAGATTGCTCTAATTGCGGACAATGTTTACCGCCATTTTGTTTAGACTTGGTGATGACGCGTATTCTTGTTTGAATACCGACTCCACACAAGTTGTCACAAACTGACCATGTTCCCCATTCACTAACTTCACAATCGACTACTGAAAAAATTCAATAAATAATAATAATAATAATTATTATTATTTTTTTTTTTTAATATTTAGTAAAAGCATAAATTAGTAAATGTTAATTTCTAAAATATACATAATTTATTTTAACTATAAATATAGCTGGGGGACTCATTTAGGAACGCTTTTAATCCACTGTGCATATATGTTGTTGTTATTATTATTTACTATCCACCGTAGCTTCCAGCAAGCATCGAAAATGTAAATTTTCATCCACAACATTACAAAGTTATATATGAACCATTAAATCAGAGCTTAAACAAACACAAAATATTGAAATTAAATTAAGCCTCCATCCCAAAAGTCATTTGCATTAACGATAAATTATTATTTCGAAAATAAACTCTAAAAAAATCAATAATAATAATTTAAATTAATTTTAAATTAACTTTTTGTATCAGATTTTAAAAGCTATCTTTTATTTCACAGCGTTAACTTTTTGGCATAAAACTTTTAGTAAAAAATACGAAAAATTTAAAGTCGGTTTTTTTAATTTTCCAAGTCTGGAATCAATTGATAGGGGATTGCCACGTGTTAAGTAAAAAAGTACAAAAAAAAGCAGGTGAAGTGTTTTCACCTCCCCTCAGTACTCGGAGTACTCGTTGGTTTTCTTTCCTTTTATTTCTCGAGTGTCTTTCGTAAGCCAGCTCCTGTCGAAAAGACTGATCGTCTGATCGATGGCGTCGGGTTAAAGCTTTTGAGCGCAACTCCTCAAAAGGATTTCCCGAGATTGACGCCCGATGCTGAAGTTAAGCCGAGGCGACAGAAAAGATGTAAGAGTGTTGTTAATGAAAAATTTTTCACTCAATCGATGGAAATCTGTCGGAGATTAAAAGATTAGGTAACTTGAAAAAGCTAAAATCCGGAACTAAATCATGAAGATTTATTATTTTACGAGATACTTCGTGAAAGCTTAATTCAAAAAAAAATTTACTTAAATCAGGTAAATAATTTTGAAGATTATCATTTTCTTAATTTGAGTAAAAAAATTCTTAAACTAAGAAATTTAAGTAAATTTTATTTAATTCAATAATTTTTCGTCTTGATTCACAATTAAACACTTTAAAATTAGTTTTTTGCTTCAAGTATTTTTTTTTTTTCATCTAATTAAATTTTTTTTCTGTGTATATATAATTAAATGTGTATACCTCATCATATAATAAATAATAAGTTTTAGTCGGTAAAGTTAATTTAGTAATTTGGTAATGAGTAATGAGGTAAGAGCCAGTTTTGGGTATTAAATTAACTATTGAATCTAGAGTAGCTAAGGTTATATACATAGTTACATAATTACATAGTTAGGATGATGAGGAGTTGGATGAAAGTTTATCCTCAGAATTTTGACTGTAATCGTGTTATTCGTCAAAGAAGTTATTAGATCAAATGCAATATTTCGCATTACGACAAAGTTATGTGTCTGACGTTGACTTTTATGAATTTACCAGCGTATAAGTTATTATCGCAAACTTTCATTATGACAAACGTCAAAATTATTTCTTTCATAACTTTATTGTATTTTTATTAAATTTATTTTTTTCTATCAAGAAAAAGTGAAATGAAAGGGCTTAAGGGACAAAGTAATTTTTCCAATAAATCAATCATCATTTTACTTATTTTAAAACAATGAAAAATTTTGATAAAAATAAATGTTAACATTTACAATAAAAAAAAACTTTTTGTATAAACTCATAAAAGTGACATTAAAAAGCTTTTTACAACTTCGTAAAAAATTGACGAGTAAATTGATTGTGCAAAAAACCAGCCACTTGATAAACCATTTATTGAGCGGCGGAAAAACATGTCAATCCATCATTTTCCATAATTAAAACTCACTGTCGAGTAGACGTCATACACATGTTGCCTATCGCCAAAATTCATTAATATTTTTCTGTAAACAATGATAAATACTGTAAGGAAAAAAGTAAACTGCGGACAAATGTAAATGTTACAAAACTTAATGTAAAAAGTGTAAAAGCCACAATTTATAATTTAATATCGAAAATGTGATTAGTAGCTATCACTATATATAGTAAACAACGACTCTCTCATCTTAAAAAATTACAGTTTCAAACAGTTAAAATTGCCGTGTTAATATATAGTCTATATTATGAGAAGGGTAAGGTTTCACACTCGGAGAATTTAACATTTGAAACAGTAAAAATTCTATTCTTAAAATATATATTTTACCAGTCCAAGCAAATCAATAATTAGGGTAGAAGTACCGTTTGTGGCCATTTATTGTTCAAATAAACGATAGAAATTAATTAATATTAATAAACCATTACAAACTCAATTTGTTTTAATATAAATTTTTTAAAACTCAACAAAAATATGGCTATAATATTATAATTTTTTATAAATTAATTCAAATGTTAACTGCCCAAAAACGGTGCTAAGGTGGGAAAAAACGGTACTTCTACCCTAAAGTTTGATTTTTAGCGTTGCGACAGATCAAATCGATAAAACATGTATATAAAACTCAAAAATCAAAATCCGTTTATGTATCAAACATTAAAGGGAGATATTTTACTATAAATGAAGACACATCTGGTTAAACTCTCACAGAGAAAGAGAGAGTATAGAGAAAGAAAGCGGTCTGCATTTTATTTCCCAGCCTCATTCTTGCGGCATATGAAATTTTCCGGGTGGTAAAAGAGACCAACCCCAAGTCCTCGTCTCCGAAGACTTGTCGTCTGGGGATTTATTTATAAAGCTGTGTGTATAGAGAAGAGCGCTACTTCTTTTTACACCCACACCTGTATTCCTGAACACAGGAGTGGAAAGATACTCTAAAAGAGGACGGTGGGTGCAGTAAAAAGACATATGAGTGGAAAGGATAAAGTGGAAGACCGGTTGGAACACATATATCGAAGATATACACCGCCACAGGATCAACGACGCTCCATATCTACCGCGCTATATTTTAAAGTGTCGTGGGTCCTGATACATATACGTCCATAAATTCAAGCGCAGCTCTGCTTATTCGCATTCACACCAAAAGAGGCTTACTTTTCTGAATAATACACTTTACACATGCTCGAAAATTTTTATAGAATGTGGAATGCCGGATGAGTTAAAACGTCATTAGTCATCTCGGAGATTGAGTGGAAGGTCTGGAGAAACTTGTCTATTTTTTAAATCTTGCAAAGGGTCTAGTTGCAATTTAAGGATAATTTCCTATATTTATTTATTTTTATGAAAAATTGAGTTGAATTTTTTTTTGTCCACAAAAATTTGTTCCGACTAACATATGTAACATATGTTTCAAATATTTCTTTACGCAGAAAAAAAAATTTAATAAATAATTTTAAAGAACTTCATCTTTCTAAATTTGAGTAAAAAAATTCGTTAACTAAGAAATTTTTCTTGGTTTAAGTAAATTTTACTTAATTAAATATGGTTAAATTTGGTATCATTATATTTTTCATGTATACATATATATGTATATATGAAAAATATATGAAAATGCATGTGGGTTCTCAAATGAAAGCTCTTGATGAGTGTAACATCGGGGTGAGCTTATACCTTTAAAAACGTCAATAGTTAAAAAAGTACAGTGCAATTTAACAAAAGTCATAATGTAATAAAGTAAAATTTCACTTTAACTCTATAAATAAATTTTAAAAATTAATTATTTTTTTCCTCCAAAAATTTTTCTCTTGATTAAAGCCAATTTTTTTTTTGTGTATAAATTCTGATTCCATCAAAAAATTATTGATATATCATCCAATCAACCATTTCATAAAATATCAATTATTCTAGACTATTAATAAATTTATTCAATAACCCTCCGGGTATTTCAAAAATTTACAATTGAAAATTAAAATAAAAGAAAATTTAATTCCATTATTTAATAATTAAATTTTCGATTAAAAATTAATAATTCAATTTTAAAATAAAATTTGATGTAAATTTTTTTTATAAATTACAATACATTAATAAATTAATAAATTGATAGAAACTCACCACTACAAGTTTCCCGAAAGTCGCTACAGCAATCATTTAATTTAAGACAAGCATGATCGCAGTAACAAGGCTTATCTTTAGGACTCTCTATAATGGCATTCGGAGATACTTTCTGTATAACACAGCCGGAGTCACGGCCTTGACAGCACAATTTAGCAGCCCTACAACTTCCTCCGGCGCTTTTGTCCACCAAAGAAACTGCTATTGCAATAAAATATTGCAGGGCTTTCAGCTTCCTCATTTCCACTGATAAAATCCAAATCGAAAACAACTAAAAATAATTCGATAAAATTTCCACTTTTTAAAGACAAATTTCGTTAATTAATCGGCTTGTATTGTATGACAAAAAAATGAATGAATAAAACCGAGGCTTATTGATTTTTCTAATTACGAAGTGAGCGTGTACACTGTTGAAATCCTCTTGCACTGTCGCCTTGTTTCACTAATAAACAATTTTGTTTTATAAAAGTCATCGCTAATCACGTTACTCACACGTTAATTAATCCTTTCATCACACTTTTACTGGCCGAAACTTTTCCACGTTTAAATCACTTCTAATTAGAGAATAATTTTATTAATTAATCACTTTTATTCTAAGCGAACTCTGTTACCAATTAAAAATAAATTGCTATTACAATTTACAACTCCTGAAACTTTTTATTAAATTATTTAAATACTTGCAGTTAATTTAAAAATTAAGAAGTTTTAAATTAAAAATTTTTTTTCTAGAAGTTTTTTTAAAAAAAAATTTTTTTTAAATAAAAATTTAACAACGAAATTTCCGTAACATCGGTAATAATTTAAAAGTGTCTCCTCAGTGAACCCTCGCATCGATGTAAACCAACTAACGCAACCCCTAGCAGATTTGCCGCTCTCGGTGTCGCGAAAATACAAATTTCTGCGCATGCTCGCATCCCTTCCGAGCCATTCAAACTGTTTTGTTTCACTATAATTTTTTTTTATTTTTAAAATAAATGTTTAACTTTTACTAATTTAAATTAAGTTGATATTTTCTGGGCAATGGCCATGCACATTATAAATTTAATTAATTTTTTTTGTTTTGTTTGTTGGTCGCTGAGGGACATGGGTTTTTAATATAAACTCAATTTAATAGAATTTTATTAATTTAAAAGCCAGGGGCGAGAAAACATCCGGAGATAATTAAACGGTTAATGTTAATGAGATTTTGCAATTAATCGGTAATGAAAGTATCGCGAGAATGATAGTGTTGGCAGGTGACAGGCGACAATTAATAACTCGGGATTTATTCCGTGTCAGGATAAATGGAACGTGGAACTTTTAGAGGGGTGACAGATCATCAAAATTTAGTGTGAAAATAGTAAATTTTTAAATTTATTTATTACACGAAAAAAAATCAAATTTTGATAAAATTTTTTATGATTATTATTATATTTATTTAATAACCAGAAAATATTACAGAATATCAATATACAATATATTTACCGAGATAAAAAATTTCTTGGAAAAAATGTAGACATTTTTATGAGAAGAAATTAATTTTTTGGAAATTTTAAACAATTTTATTTCTCAACTAAAGAAATAAAAATTTTTTAAAAAAGAAATTAATTTTTTGACAATTTTTAACAATTTTAATTCTTAACTGAAGAAATAAAAATTTTTTAGAAAAGAAATTAATTTTTTGAAAATTTTTAACAATTTTAAATCTTAAATAAAGAAATAAAAATTTTTTAGAAAAAAAATTAATTTTTTAAACAATTTTATTTCTTAACTAAAGAAATAAAAATTTTTCTTGCAATAATTTTTCCTGAAAAAAAAAAAATAATTTCAAACAATTTAAAAATTTTCATAAAAAATTTTTTTTTTCTAAATTTTTTTTCAACAAAAAAATAACTGAGAAAAATTTATATTTCTTCAGCTAAGAAATAAAATTGTTAAAAATTTCTAAAAAATTAATTTCTTCTCTTTTTTATTCACAAAAAATTTACGCAATTAGTAAATTATTATCTATTTGATTAAATTTTAAATTGATGATCGATAAAAAAATAGACAAACAAAGCCTGAGCAGATTAAGCATACATTGATGTTTGTAATTAAAATTATCAAGTATTACGAAATCATCAAACGCATTAATTATCGTAACTGATGTTGGTCAAAGTTTATTATAATTAATAAATGATACAGATTTGCTTTCAACAATCTATAAACTTAACCATTCTGTGTGATTTTATGAGCAACTCAATCACTATAATGTATAACGTGCTCCATTTTCGGTTGATTACACTCCGGTTGTTTAATTTCATGTAATATTTACAATGGGTTGTGTGTAATTATTTAATCGATTGTTCAAACAACCCTTGCTTGTCCGAACTAGTTGATCGTGACTTTGCTGGTGAAACGCGCTTAGAATTGATGAGGAAATTATCGACGTCTACCTTCGGAATTTTTTTTAGGTTCTAACAATTCAACTTTTTTATAACGATTTTATAATGACTGGAGAACAATAAATTTTTTATTAACAATTTATTAGATAGTTTGAGATTATTAAAATTGTATTAATGTTACGCCATTATAAATTAATAATTAATTGTTATGGAAATTCTATTAGAGTACAATAATATTCTGATAGCCTTATTAGCGCATCACAATCCGGGGACAATCGATTAATTTATTTGGTATTATGTGATATTATAATTAAAATCAAACTATTTGTTTTAGTTCTGCATAATTGTATGCGATCATTGATTTGATTATGTTTGGAATTAGTATTAAAATTATTAATTAATTGATTAGTCATTAAAATAGAGTTGCAAATAATTAATTAAAATTTTATTTATAATTATTAAAAAATTTTTATTCGTCATTTAAAATGACAATTAATTTATCAATTTTTTTTAATTAATAGTTTAGTTTTTTAAAGATTTTAGTCATTAATTATTTCGAAAATTCGCAATATAAAAAATTAAATTAAAATATTTTTTTTGAAATTTTTAATTTCAATAAATTTTAAAATAATTTAATTAAAAATAAAATATTAAACTATAATTTTTTTTTTTTTTAGTACTAGTCATGAATTATTTTGAAGATTTGCAACATAAAAAATTAAATCAAACTATTTTTTTGAAATTAATAGACAAAAATAAATTAATAATTTAATGAAAAATAAAACATTCTTTACTATTTTAATTATTTTTTTTTGGGTAAAAATTTACTAGAAATATAATTTTTTTAAGTCAAACAAAAATTCAACTAAGAAATATTTCTCAGTTATATGGTCCGACAAAATGTCTAAATTTTCTCGTAAAAATTTTATTTTCTTTTCCATTTTATTAGAACAAAATTCTAAGCTGAAAAGAAGAATTATTAAGTTTGAAATATTTTATCCGGGATAGCGCGAACGCAGTCCCGACTAACAAAAATTATACGCCCGAGATATCCACATTAGGGATATTCGCAAGGGTCAGCTCGACCGTAGTGCAATGGAAGAGCCTCGCCCTGGGGGAACCGCCTTCATGATCACGGTAACCCCTGCGCCAGGTAAGTATGCTTAAACGCTCCCAGAAATGGGTTATAACACTTCTAAATTCCGCCACACGTAGGGACAATTTTCACTACCGTGCGTAGCCTCACGTCAGTTTCTTGAACTACGCTTATCCCCGTCCTCCCTTTCGCCTTTCCTACAAGCTACACTCGGCGACCAACACGAATACTCTGTACGCAGTATAGTAAGTATACACTTATACTTACACTTACTTATAGATTACTCGACTCATATTTAATCAGCAATCAAATGAAATATAAAATTTCTCTGATCGTTCCTACAAAGTTCTCGTCTAAAACTATTGATCTTTAAAATCAACAAAAATTTATAATGGAATTGTAAATAGGTAAAAAGCAATCTTGTCTGTCCATCAAATCACTTGACCCAAATGCAGATTTATTGACCCATAAACAAACACTCTATTCTTTATACTTTACTTTCGACTTTACTCCATCTAATTCCTGTGGCTAGTTTTGTTCAATAAAAGTTTCAATTTGTTATTTTTAACCATTACACTGAGAAAAAAAATTTATTTTTAAAAATATGGGCATTTTAAAAAAAAAAAATTAATTTTTTTGAAATTTTAAACAATATTATTTCTTAGCTGCACTGATAGAAGGCATTGTTTATATTTAATAAGCTTTATTAATTGTTAATAAATTATTTTTTAACTTATTAAAAATATTTATGTTAAAAAATATTTAATAAATTGAATAATTGTCTTCAAATAAATTAAATTATTAGTAGTTAATAAATCCTTCTATCAGTTTGAAGAAATAAAAGTTTTTCTGAGTAATTTTTTTATTGAAAAAAAATTTTTTAGATTTAGAAAAAAACTATTTTTAAATTTCTTTTTTTTTCAAACCTTAAATTTTTTTTTTTTAAAAGAAATTCTGATTTTTTCAGCTAAGAAATAAAATTATTAAAAATTTCCAACAAATTAATTTTTTGTCACTAAAATATTTATTTTTTTTCAAAAAAAATTTTTACTTGGTATATTTAAAATAGAACAATTTTATTATAGAAATTATTTAAATTGTTATTGTTAATTTCGTTCATCAAATAATGAAAATTAAGTTAGGCATCTAAAAATTTTAAGAATTTTTTTATTAAAAAAATTCATTATTAAAGAACTTGAAAAACTATAAGTGCAATTTTTAAAAAATATTTTTTAGTTGTAATTTAATAAATGAATTATTTAAAAAAATTTATTGTTTCAAAATGAAATGTTTTTTTATGAATTAAATTATAATTGGATTTTTCCAAAAAAAAAAATAACCGAGCTTGATGAAGTGTGAGTATATTCTCTAAACAATAACAAAAAATTTACACATTGAAAATAATGATAACAATAATAAATAAAATATTTAAAAAATAGCTAAAGGGTAAAGCGGAAGTACTCGTCGGTTCGGTCTTTAAACATGTGTTTTTACACTTAACTTTGTCGGTGTAGCGACGAAACAAATAATTCAGACGCTCGGAGGCGTTTCTCAGACGAACGTTTTACAAGACAAGATTAATGGAGCTTGCTCAACGGAAAATAGCACGTCACGAGTCTACGACGGTGAGATACCGAAGATTGCTTTTGTTAACCAAAAAACGGATAAATAAAAATACCTATAAAAAGAAAATCTGATAACAAGTGTAACTTGTTATTTGAATTCGAGGTTGTTAGCAATTTCTTGAACCTCCGTATTAATTTAATTATAATTTCAAATTAT